GTCCCAGCTGTGTCCCCTCCCAACTCCTTGTGCCCCTCCCAGCCTCCTCGCTGGTGGGGTGGGATGAGAGGCAGAAAAGGCCTTGGCTCTGTGCAAGCCCTGCTCAGCAATAGCTAAAACATCCCTGAGTTATCAGTGCTGTTTTCAGCACAAATCCAAAACACAGCCCCATAGCACCTACTGTGAGGACAATGAACTCTACCTCAGCCAAAACTAGTATAAAAAGAAAGCTCCAAGGCCAAGTATCACTGGCCGGCTTGTACTCACATAGCTTGGGTGCATAGATTAGGTTTATAAAAAACCTGTCTTGGAGAGAGCTAATGAGTGAGCTAAGAATTGAGGAGTGTGGAAACCAGGCATTTGAGTCCCCTCTGGGGCCCTCCCCTACATAGCAGGGTAGACACAGCTCCTATATCTCTTATCCTGCCTGCAGGCCAGAGAAAAGCCAGAGAACCTGGCTATGTGTTGGTACATTCAGCTGAGGTGATAGAGAGAACATAGGCACAACCCAACATGAATCCTTTCTTGTGTAATTTGCTTTAAAAGTCAGTCAGCTGTGAAACACAAATCCTTTGGGAAGCAAACCCCCTTAGCACTGTGGTCAATGGAAATGGTGATTTCTTATTCCCACTGCAAGCCCAATGACACGTCCAGAGCCTGGAGGCAATGGTGCCAGCAAGCAGGCAGGGCTGCAGATGACTCCTTCGGCAGTTCGCCAGGCAGGCATTTCCGTGAGAAAGCGTGGAGAGTGCTTGCAGTATGGGGCTGCTGTCATGCGTAGGAAACCTGAGGGAGATCCTGAAAGCAGAGGAGTCATGAGAGCAGATAGAGGGAGATGAAAAGAAGAATGAGGCAAAGACTGTAAAGGAAAGGTAAGCAGACTGTTGCCAGAGAATAGGAAAACAAATGCCTAAAAAGGAACATAGGATGAGGAAAGGAAGGCGAAAAGGTTAATAATGACTGAACAGATTGCACAAAACGGAGAAAAATATGCTTATATGAAAAGGGGTAGGCTAGAAGGACAACAGGTCTCGAGGTTCCTATGTGCATTACTGGGGAGGTCACTGAGAGCATGGGAATGTGGAAATAACTGGTGATACCAATATCTCACATAGCATTACACAGCCAGTCCTCCGTACTCTTTGTACTTAAGATTCTTCAGTATCACTTCCCAGCAGATGTGGCCACATCCTTACTGTAGCAAGATGATTTACAAAGAAAAGATTGATGCTGCAAGAGATAAGCAGAGGAGTCAGGCTACAGTGAAGAGTCTGTCTCTGTTGCAGACCCAACATGGTATCCTGTCCTGGCTTGATTCCTGGAGACAATGACGGATGGGTCACATCAAGCCAATTTCCATGAAATGTGAGGTGCCTCCTGGAAATATTCAAGACTTCAGCTTGCTTGGAGGGTCTATCTGGGTTTTTGCTTTCAACACAAGCAGAGTCAGTCTGAAATCAGCACTCTGAAATGACTGTTAAAATAAATATAGAAGGACAGGCAAGTAACAAAATATTACCGTATTTCTCTTTTTCCTGAGTTTGTAAGAATTTACCTCACAGTCTTAGAATTAACCTTAGCAATACCTGCAATCAAGAAAATTGCCACCAGGAAGTTACACTACTAGGTAATACTAAAACAAACAAACAAACAAAAACATTAATCAATGTTGCTTCTTCATGTAGAAAAAAAAAAGAGAAAAACAAATGCTGGGAATAGAGGAATCTCTTCCAAAGAGGTTTAACTTCCTCTGAGAAAAGGAAAATGGTACCTAAGATGCAGATATATTTGACAAGAGGTGATGTCAGTGTTTGACTAGCTCTGCTCAGACCTCCACACCACAGGAATGAATGTGGTGTCGTCCTTTGCGGGTACTCACACTTCCTTTGTAATGTAAATTCCCTACAGTGACCTGTAATATCTTGGTTTCCAACTCGTTGGTTTCTGACACTGCAACTAGCAAAAATTTGAAGTAAACTGTTCTGGGGTGAGGGACGTAAACCTCTAAGAACAGAGGGAGTTAATGTAGTTTGAAAAGTGGAGAGCCATTTGTGATAATGATAAAAATACTGTGGTGGTTTGACCTTGGCTGGCCACCATGTGCCCACCAAGCCGCTCTCTCACTCCCCCTCTTCTTTATTCTCTACTTCCCATCAGCAGATGATATCCAGCCACTCCCTGGGAAGGACGGCCTCAGTACACACAGCAGCTGCTTTGGAAAACAAATGCCTTAATAACAAATGCCTCCTCCCACCCCAGTCCTCCTTTCTCCCAGATTTATACACTGAGCACAATGTCATATGGTATAGAATATCCCTATGGTCAGTTGGGGTCAGCTCTCCTGACTGTTGTGTCCCTTCCCAACCTCTTGCCCACCCCCATCCTACTGGCCTTTGCACGGTGGTTGGGATGGGGTCGGAGAGACGGCCTTGATGCTGTGCGAGCACTGCTCCGCAACAGCCAAAACACTGGGGTGTTACCAACACCATTCTAGATACAAATACAAAGCGTGGCACTATATGGGCTGCTTTGGGGAAACTTAACTCCAGCCCAGCCAGAACCAAGTGTTTCTTATGCTAGAGAAGGACAACACATGAAAGTACAGCCATGAGCTACCTTGTTGAACCGGGCAGCATTGCCAACCCCCTCCTACGCTCACATAGCCTGCAAGGGGAGGCATAGCCTCCTTCACATGGTCTATACAATGCTTCACCAGAGAAAATATTCACACACTCTGTGAGACAAGAAAAGAAAAAAGTAGGCAAAAGAAACCTCAAAACCTGACCAGGTATAAGATTTGGTTGCTGCTTAAAAAAATGCCTTTAGGAAAAAGACTTCCAAATCAAAGAAACTCAGCAGAGGGAAGCAGAAAATCAAATATATAAAAAATAGGAAGACACTAAAAAGGTTAATAAGACTTCTGTATAGCAATAGTCAAAGACTTTAAAACAAGCAGTGAGAAATTATTTCTGTGTTCCAGAAGCAGTGAATGGAATTCAACCAGATGTCCATTGACTGTAACAGGAGCCTAAACAACTAGTGCTTGTGTAAATACTGACTTGTAGATACTTTTAGGTGTCTTAATATCAAATTTCATCCCACATAAGCTATCTGCAGGTACACTAATAGATCTGTTTCATTATCAAGACATAATGGAGGCAAGTCAAGAGGGGAAATAAACACTGGAAAAATATCTTGTCTTTGTAGCATTCCCCATTGGAAAGGATCATTACCATGTATTATGACACTTCAGGAAGCTGGACTGAAAAACACACAAAGATGACAGTAGGTTCTAGAAAATGCTGACAACTTACAGAAAGAAAGTTGTAGGTGCAGAGGAGCAGAAATACCAAGAATGATGATGTACATTGTTTGTGATTATGTAAATCTTTGTTCAAATGAACTGTACATGAAGACTTGAGACTCACATTCTCTAAAATAGCCCTAAGTAGGTTCAGTAATTTTTCCTAGCCTCTCAAGTATATTTTATAGCCCAAGTTCAATTGTATATCACTGCAGTTATATTAGTTTAAAATTATTATGAACATAGTTCTATGAGCTAGCATCATATTTTGATTACAAAGCAGTCATCCTCAAAGTTTAATAATGTCCACAGTAAGATTCAACAGTGTCAGGACCCAAAACAAATAATAACAAAGAAAGTGTAGAAAATAGTATCTTATTTAATAGTGGGATACAGTAAACTACACCTAACAACTGGCATTCTTTAGGATATTCAGTTTTCCATGAAAAGAGGTGAAAAGTGAGGGACCATATATAAGAATGAAAAATTCATTCAGGTTTGTCAGGAACTGACAGAAGTGTCATCAAGCTTATGATAAATGCTGCTATTTGGGATATTCAGGACAAGGAAAAGCAGCTGAATCCAGGGTTATCCAGTGCCAAATGGCCTTTGGAAAGGCCCATCAAAATTCCAGCTTCTAAGGTACTTTTCTGAATGGAAAGCTGTTCTTAGCTGGTCTGTGGTCAGAAAAGAAAAGAAGAAAAGATGATAGAAAATAGCGCTGAAGTTGCTAAATAACATATACAAAACCAACAGTATGTCCACTGTCAGCTTTGATCTTTGCCTCCAGGAGAAGAATGAGAAGTGATTCAGGGCACTGCTCTAAACATTATTTTAAGGGTTATTAAGGCCTTACTACAGGAAAACTTGAAATCAGCCATGAAAGACTTTGAAGCAAGACTTCTTTGCCACAGTCAAAAAAAGGTAAGCACATCAGCATTTAATTCCTGCTAAAACATGACAGAGAGTGAGACCTTTCTCTTCCTTCTTTGCTTAGACAGTTCAGATCTCATGGACTTTTTCCATGCACTCCTAAAACATGCTGGCAGGAGCAGGTACAGGTTCTGAACATGCCTGGTGGTGATGCTGGCTTTAACGGAGCACTCATGGAGAAGCGAGTCATCCACACCCTGACATAACCAAAAGCCAAACCATCCACTTCCCAAAAGGCACCTTCAACAAATGGTTGAAAGCCAGTCTAAATGCTCACTTTGCAGCAGAAGCTGAAGCATTGAGAAAGAAAATCTGCAGTGATGTTCACAGGATCGGAAAGCAAGAAAATCTGACTTTCTAATGGTATAGTTAGGATAGATACGTGGGTCAATAGTAATCCTGAATCATGGTCTCTGCACCAAATACAGCGAGTGTATAGAATCATAATGAGAGTGTACAATGAGTGTATGTATCATAATGAGAGTCTGTGGCCTCTCTACCTCAAACCGTTGTGCTGTAATAGACAATAGTGAGACTATTCAGTTCTTTCAAAGAAGAGGTGCCTGTCAGACATCCTGAAGCACACCCTCTGCTTGGCTTTTCTAAAGAATATTTTCTAGAGGTGAATTAGACAGCATCTTTGACTCCTCCCATGAGAAAAAAAGAAGGTTTGCAGAAAGCAAAGTACACTTTGGCATCATTTTCCTCTTCTTTTTTTATTTTTTTTTTTTTTCCCTGAAGGCTTCATTTTCTCTTTCCAGGGATGTTTGATACTCTTGGACTCATTTGCATGATTTGGTGGTGTATGATGCCATTTCATCCCTTGCATGCTGACATCCAGTGTACGGGGTGTAAGTATGTTTTTGCAGATATAATCTGAGAAACAGTGTTTAATTCTTCATTATCAGAGATATTTGCAATTAATCTGGCAATTGTCGTCTTAAGCCTGACAGATTCTATCCTCTGCATTCAACAAAAACAATAGCATATCCCTAATGAATTTATTCTGTGACCCTTTCAGCAGAGGCACAAGAATCACCTATTACAAACGTGAAAATGAATTGGAGAAAAATGGAACTGTCCTGGGAGAGCAGTAAGAATTTCTCCAAGTACAAATGTACCATCATGGACAGGGACGTAGAAAGTATAGAGAAAGAGGTAAACTTGTTATTCATGGAGATAAGTAATTGCACCTTTTTCTTTACCTTTTATTGATTTCACTTACTTTGAAAAAATTAATCAGTTGCAGGTAAAATCTGAGCAGTGGCTGTTTTCAGTCTACAGCTTGATCTGTCAGGGGCTGTGGAAAGCTGTCACCAAGGCCAGGGTGCATTTGCTGCAGCAGGAGCATCCCGTGCATGCCACAGAACTGAAGTTCTGGTACCAAAGTGGAAAGGAGGAGACAGCCTGAACTGTACTGACGTTGAATCATGAACAGGGATGTAGCTGCTGAAAAAAGGGGCTGTGAGACTGAGACTCCTAGAGAATGTAGAGAGACAGAGCAAGAGACCCTTCAAATAAAAAAATAATTCCCCAAACACTGTCATGGATTTTCATTATCTCAAGTTCTTCACTTGTTTCCTGGTAAATTGGATCATGCCTGTATCACATGTTATGTTATAAGCCCACATTATCCAAACAAAAAACTTTGACAGAAAAAAAGGTAGAGATGGCTTATTTAGCTTAGCAAAGCAGATGTCTTAATTAGAAATACATATTACAAGAACATATCACATCTTTACTGAAGATTATAATGCCATAGACACCTTTCTGACCCCTGGGGAGGTCAGACAAGGACTTCTATTTTGCTTAATCCTTTGATTAAATTCCATTGTGGTTCCCCTATCTATTAACCATCTTCTGTTAGGCCACTGGGGTACTATTAGCCTTCTCTAATAGTTGCACACTAGCGTAGCATCCAACTGCCAAGCTGCGAAGCTTTTTGTGCAGTTATGCTTTTGATCACTCAGCTCCACTCTACATCACCTTCAAGTGGTAAAGGAAAGAGTTAGCCTAAAACACATAACATACGCAAAATTTTGGTTCTATGAATTGAGTTTCTGAGTTGCACTTCCATAGCCAGCATTATCTAACACCAGCAGAATTAAAACACAGAAATAAAACATCAGCATGTTCTTTTCCAGGTGAACAGCCCACTCTGCAGGTTTCCAGTGGAACAATACATGCCTCTGCACAAAGGGGTATTCTTTATCATTGAAGTGCCAAACACAAACACCTCAAAAAAATGCACCTTTATCCCTGGAGGTAATGTCTATAGTCTGGATAAGGTTTTCTCCATTTGCAAACTTTTAAAGGCAAACATGGCCTCAGAAAACAATTTCTTACACAGTAGGTAACTAACCGCTTTATTTTCTATTAATAATGATTTTTTGCAGATCTGCTAAAATTATTTGCTCTGTAATGAATGTTTCCACAGTTCTGCAAGAGATGCATTATTACAAATGTGTCAGTAATTGCATTATTCTCTTTCATACTAGGGCTCCAAAACGTCACTAAATTACAGTGGTTTAAGGGTGGATTCAAATAATTGTTCTGGCTGTTACAAATTAAGATGTTAGCACCCATTTCTTTATTAAATGCTTTTCTGCTGGGCTGTTGGTGAGTTTGTCAGGAGCCAGACCACAAAACTACCTAAAGGTAGAGTCTGGAGAGCAGTGAAATCCATAAATCGGGAGGAGGAGAGGGAAGGAAATGCCGGTGGTAAGCAGCCAAGGGCAAACCGAATGTACTGATCTCCTAATCTGGCCCTGGCGTGCACATCCAGGTGCACACACAGACAGACACACGCACACACACATGCAGGTTCCCCCAACTGCTGTGCACCCATCGAGCTGAGCCAACTGTTTACAAAGATATTCTGAGCCTGCCCCATGTGGGAGTTAATCAAAGTGGGATTTAGGCAGATCCTAGTTTCATAATCCCAAACCTGAAATTTTTACAGCTTGTTTTCCACTTCCTTCTCAACTCAGTTCTCCACTGAAATTGCTCAGTCACCAGCGCTCCTGCAACTGTGAGCAACTGAGGTATTTCAGACTCGACAGAGGTGATGAGATTAGCCACTTGCTCATATCTGAGCAGAGAAAGCACTCCCTACTCATCTCTTTCTGGGGACTTGACAGAGGAAACACTCTCACGGTGACTCTCGAAACACAAGCCAGGACACGCTGCCTCTTAAAACCTCTTGCTTTTGGTGTTCCTCCTCAGCTGGTCCTAGCCTCCAAGCCTGCAAATTCCCCAGGGGGTTTCCCCCTGCTTCCACAAAGGTGGAAGTATTCCCTCAGCGCTGGGGGCAGAAGGGGGCTGGAGGTAGTAGCGGAGAAAGCTTTCACCCTTCCGCTGAAGTTGGGGTATGCCGCAGAAAGAAGAAAACTGGCTGAAGAAAAGAGAAGGAGGCTAAGCACACCTGCACAGCCCGGTCACGAGGGAGCTTCTGAAGAAACGAGGTTCCCTCTTCAGTGTGCTTCAGAAAAGGAGGAGATCAAGTCACTGTCACCCACATCAGGGTGGAAAGATCTAGCCAGGAGGCTCTTTGATCGGAGGGTAGAAAGTCCCATCTGTTTAAATGCTGTGGGTAAACACTTCAGAAGTGGATTCCTGGGCATTAATTGGTAAAGGAGAAATACTTCTCTCTGTAGCACCACGGATGGTGTTAAAAGGCAATGTACCTTCCTTTACCTGTGTGAATGCTCTACTCACTCCCAGATTTCACAGTTCAGAGGCAGTCAAAATAGGGTGAGAGTCCAGCTTTCTCTCAGTTGTTATTCCTAACCCAAGCAATAACCAGCTGGAGTTGCAGGCGTCTAACATATCTAAGTGTGTGCCAAGATCCTCCAGCTTGGAGCAGTCGCACAATTTTTCCCCGTCACAGACATTTCTGTGTTTGCAGGCATGAATGGGTCAGCCATTGAAAACTTCTCCTGTGTGATTTATAACATTTCCCTCATGAACTGCACTTGGCAGGCAGGCAGGGATGCTCCAGGAGATACCCAATATTTTCTCTACTGGCAGAACTCGAGGTAAGTGGGTCTGCTTGAGTCTGAATTCTCATTCGACACATCACACTGCCCACCTTTAACTAGAATACCTTGCTATATACAGAGAGGATGAAAAGATGGAATGCGAGCTTTACATTAAAGATGAAAATGGCAGAAACATAGGATGTAGATTCCAAAATGTGAGGATAGAGACTGAAAAAGCTTACTTCCTGGTGAACGGGTCTAGCAAAGACTCCCTGATCCAGTTCTATGATGAGTACATTCAACTGTATAAAATTGGTAAGTGAACATTTTTATATTATTACTGTTTTATAAAATAAGGAAGTGGGGAATTTTTCTCTGAAGAGAAAAGAAGAATATAACAAGTTCTGTAGCCACCGCAGGATCCTGCACTGCAGAACAGACTTCGCTCCTGATAGCTGACAGAATATAGTTCCAAAAAATTAACTAAAACAAGCAAAGGCAGAGGCAGCCTGAAATAACTGCTCAGTGAAGTGGTGTGAAGATATCCATGGAATTCAAGTGATAAAACGCAATGGTTAGACTTACAAGGCCACCTTTCTGATGGGTTCATTTTTCCATCCCTTAATTTCACACCTCTCTGAGAGCCACAAGAGCTACGTGTCCTAAAACCAGGAGGGTTCAACTTGCAAATGAAGACTAGTGTTAGTTAAATATGTGGGTACCTATGTCTGAGCTTGGTGTTTAAGCTCCAACAGAGATCTGTGACAGGATTCAGTTGCCTAAAAACATGCCTCTAGTGTCACTTGAGACCCCTTCCAACACTTGAGGCATGCAGAAGGCTTGCAGATGTGGCCCAAGACCTGTAAGACACCAGGGTCCTCCCGGGTGTCCTAAGCCATCTGAAATGCCCAGCCTGAGACCGAGTCCTGCCTGCAGCTGATGCAGGCTGTAAAGCCCAGAGCTGTTCAGATGAGCACGCCAGCTCCATGGTATGCCAAAGAGCTCTGCAGACATCATGGGCACTACTGATGAGGTCTCTGTTGACTATAGTGGTTAGACACTTAGGTCACACCTAGTCAACTATATTGTAGGCACTCAAATTCAGATGGTTTGATTTTCTACATGAATAATCCACAAGCACAAAAACTTGCATCTTTTTTTTCCTATGGAGATTTGCACTGTCAATGTGAAATTTAGATGAAGAAGAAAATGCTGGTTGTACTACTTACACAAAATCCTTCATATGTTTCCTACATGAACTTCAGTTACTTCAGATGTCCAACAACTGAAGTGATAAATTCTCAAGTTTTGCTACTGTATTTTACTCCTGTTAACCAGATAACATTTGTCAACGTCAATGGCACACAGTTGTACATCAGTTGCCTCAATCTCTCATGTATTTTGCTATGAACACATGAGTTGTAGCTGGTTACTGATCATGTCTACATTAATTATGTCATTTCTTTCCAGAAATACTCACTCCTCCATTAAATGTCACTGCCAAGTGTACTGGAGATTCAGCGGGTTGCACAATTACATGGCAACCACCCCTTACAAGTCATGTGGAAAACATAAAGTGTTTTCTGTATGAAATTAGCATACAAAATAAGGTAAAAACAATTTCTTGGTTTTTATTTGGCACCATACCTACATACATGCATATCTGTAATGTGCAAACTTGTGTTTCCTTTCTTTATTAACTTCTCTCTCATAAGCTGTGCTGTCCTCCTGTTCCAGCTCTGCTGGTCTCGAATCCCACCACTCATGACCTTATTTCAAACTAATCAGAGGTGCAAAGCAGAAAAGCAGAGGAGAGCAGGGAAATGTTATGAGGGGTCTCTGTCCAACAACAGGGAGAGCACCTGTGATGCTTTCCTGCATGAGCGTGTCTCACAGAAGATGACCGGGTAACGGCATCCTGCGATCTGCAATGAGGGCACTGCCTTGGTGGCTGCCTCCAGCCCAGGCTAGGGCCCCTCATACTGGCCCTGCTTCCCAGGGCACCTCGGCTTCGGCCACTCCGTTGGCATTTTGCAGGTGCTGGATATCTCACAGCTGCCCCTCAGTTTCAACACGTGGGACTGTTTTGCCCCCCTCAGCCTACACACCTCTCCTCCACCACCTTTCCTGCCGTCTGTCGCCCTTCGGCAGCCTTCCCTCAGATGCCAACCTTCCCCTGGAGCCGGGTTGATCCAACCCAACCCCTGCCTGTCTACACAGTGTCTGCCAAAACCCCCGTTTTGAAACCAGCGCTGAAACAGAAGCCACTCTTCTGAAAAATTAGATACCATCACCTCAGGGGAAAGTTCACAGAGGCCCAGGGTAGATGTCCGCAATGGATGCGTTTGCTTTTCAGTCAGTTACCCTCTACTCTCTCTGCAGTCAGGTGTGGTGTTACCCATCTCCTTCCAAGGTAGACGACAGACAAATCATGCCCCTAAAGTGCTTCTTTCTTTCTGTTGGCTATAAAAGAGGAACCTAAAATGACTGTCATCTCAGATGTAAACACGTACGTACCAGAACTGAGCTGGGATTTCTCCTACACTATAGGCAGAGCACTGCCAACTTACCATAGTGACCCCAGGCAAAGGGCAGGACAACACAGAGTGTGTACTTCACCATAGCCGAGGTATGTCTGGTTTCCACCAAGTACAATGGCACAGAGAGGTTGAGGTGTCAAATTGTCCTCCACAAATCCCAGTGCCTAAAGGACCTGATTTTAACACCCCTAAGGACAACGGGCAGGAAAATTCTTTGAGCCCAGCAGTTCGAAAAGGAGGCAAGTAATAGCACTCTTCCTCCTCACCCCACGGATACCACGGATACCTGTTTTACCATTACATTATTGCCACATCTGGACAACGTCTGCATCGTGACAAATCAGTGCTCCCCACCTACCCCATTTCCCAGTCACCGTCAGTTCACCAGCTTACCGTAGTGGCAATTTCTTAGGCATTTGTAACACAAGGCCATTACAGGACAGAACAGCCAAGGGTTAAACATAAATATACAACTGCAATAAAGCATACATCATTAAAACTCATTAATTCATTCAAAACAAGGCCTGCAGCTTGCAGGCTGTTTGAATCGTCTGGATTTTGTATCTTGCATGCATTAATAGTATCTACCTTGGTAGCTATTTGAAGGACCAACTGCAGTACACGCAGCTCTCCAGCTGGCCAGTATAATTTGACAGTAAGATCTTGTGTGAAATACTTAGAGTGTTTTACATAAAGATATAGGTTACAACATATGACTGAAGCAATATTATCAAAAAGTCTCTTTTAAAGAAATACACGTTACCTCTTCTTTCCCGTGCTGCAGTCAGAATGAGTGGGGTTCAGTAGATTCCTATATTTGGGTGTGAAATTTATCTCACAGACCGAGACACTTTAATGTAGGTGCCTGCAAAGGAGCATGGATATCCCGTAACTGTCAATGCACATCTAGGGCTTTGTGCAGCTGAGCAGTAGGTGCCTCATTCCCCTTAAGGTGCTATAGGTACTGAAGGTACCAGAGGTACCTACATGGAGGTGGCAGATATCACTCACACCTTTTGGGAGGGGCCATCAGAGGTAAGGCAACTAAATTTTTAGTAATTCATTTGCACCCTCCCCATTCACAGCACAGGCTGATGACTTCCATCATGACCTAAGTTGAAAGAGTTCGGCTGAAAATGAGTAATGGGGAAATACTAGTCTGCTTGATAATGTGACATACACAGCAGGTGTATTTTCTGACTTGAGACATTCCTTCCAACAACATCTTTCTGACTTTTCCATAATGCCAGCTATTCTTCTGACACTACATGCGATAGATGTTTCCAGGACCTCAGCTTTTAAATGTCTTCTGGGATCCTTGCAAAAATCATTGCTGTTGATTTTGTTCACTCATTTTTGAACCTATTCTTTTTTCAAAATTTTCAGGTTCTTTGATCCAGGTCAATGTTTGATTCTAGTTACTTAAATTTTGATTGTATGGGATGTGTAAGTAGCTCTTCACAGTACTTTGGGGAAAGCCCCCGAGTATGGATCACGCAGATATCTAACAAAGACTTTTACTGGAAGGAGGGTAAATTTGCTGTTCACATCAATTTTCTGCCCCATGTTATCGAACTATTGTGAAAACACAGCTCCCAGATCTGCTGTGTTTGGATGATGACTTGATTGCTGGTGTCATTTGGATATACTTCTGCTGGATGAGAATGCACAGTGTAAACATGCCCTTAGAGGCAAATACAGCTTCTCACAACCACTGATGAATAATTCATGTTTCCTTCCTCTTCTAAAATGAAATGGAGGAAGTCAAAACTCTGAATAAAGTGCTATACTCTGGGACATTACTGGAGCAGAATATCCAATGGATTTTTCAGTTTAAAGTTACATATGATCTTTATAAGCAAGAAAATGAGAACAAAAGAGGCAGAAATATTTGATTATTTGACAAGAAAATAATAAAAATGAAGATTTGTCTTTGGTTTGCAGGATGAGCCCAAAGAAGAGAAAAAGGATCCTCCTCCAAAAGTAAGTATTCTTGTCATATATAAATTTGTGCTTTTGCCCACTTAAGCATGTAAATATCACTATATAAAACATACTTACTTCTAGAATTATAGTTTTTGTATCAGTATAGCAATGAGAGTTCAGAAAAATATGTTCCTGTGGTATCTTTATGTGTAAACTTAATACATCCCTTTTGGATGGGGTAGCTTAGACTAGGCAGAATTTTCCATACATTTCACAAAAATTCATACTTCCCATTCACAGTACAAATAGATTTTGCTTAAGACAGATGTGACATTTTGGTTAATAAAAATTGGAAACATTCTCTTTCTCATATCTGTTGGTGGAAAAATACCACTGTAGTTCAGGACAGCTAGACAGAGGGAATGCTGAGATCTTCAAAATCTGTGGAAGAGAATACACACTGTCAGTCTGTCCTTGACAAATAAGTGATCCTCTCAGCCCTGGAAGCATCTTAGTCTTGGCAGATTTCAGACTTTGTATAAAGTACCATGAGGACAGATGATATATATGTTCCTGGATTGTCTCAAAAACATTAAGTCTGTTTAGCAAAGACAGACACTATCCAGGGAATATTTGCATTACTAATCCCTGCAAAGGCTGCAAGGTGAACTTACAGGGTAGTTCTCCAGTTTCAGCTTTCTGTCCTGATTTTTTTAGGATCCATAAACAAGGACAGGGAAAAAAGTGTCCTTAAAGCATCGCAAAATTAATTAAAGATGCAATAAACTTCAAAATACAACTTTAAACTTCAAAAACCAGAAAGATTTGGCGGTAGGATGAACTGATTTATCACAGTTTTAAATTTGGGGAGAAGAATATTTAACTAGTAGATCTCTACAACATCATATAAATTAGTTCTTTAGAAACTGTATCAGGAAATCAAAATCCAAGTTTTGTTAATATTTGCCTATGGGATGAAATGGACAATCTGATTGCTTTGATTTTAGGTAAGGAACAACAGCTACAAATTCCAAAATTACGATGAGAAAAAAAAATACATCCTGAAAATCAGAGCACGTGGAAAAAACTGTCTCGTAAGCTCAAACTGGGGGGAATGGAGCAAACCCATCGAGTTTGGTAAGACTGTGAAATATTATTTTAATTTTTTTTTCAATAGTACCATGTTTGCTTCCCTTTCTCCCTCGCACTCACAGATACGAATAAAAATCTTAATTCTTACTCAATGACATGGAAGGAATCAGGTGGAAATTATTCACATGGAGGAGAAGCTCCAGTACTACAGCAACGGAGGCTGGTATCAGCCTTTGATTAGTTGGGATTGTGAAGGCAGCAGTTACTCAGATGCCAGGGCTACAGGAACAGGTGGAGATAGACCCAGTCTTGTCTTCGGTTCAAAGTGCTCAGGCTGTCTTTCAGTTCTTCAAGTTTTTGCCATGAATATCATCCCCTTCCTTCCACATCTTCCTTTTCACCCTTTTCTCAACACTCTTTTTACAGTTCCATCACTTTTGCTCTGTTATTCGTTCTGTGACTGTTTCTTCTTCTCCTTTTCTGGATTTTTTTTTTAATTATAATTATTTTAGATGTTTGAAATGGTTTAAAATACGTTAAGTGTAGCTGAATTTTTTAACAAGGTTCTGTAAGAAGTCAAGTTGAAGTCCTTCAGATTGTTCAAAAAAATAGGTGAAATTTGCATTCACTACTGACAGTCACAAAAACAGCTCTTTGGCATGCTAAGATCTTTTTCTCTCTTGGATGTTTCAGGTCAAGGGAAAGATTACTCTATTTTTATGATTTTATTTCTGATAGCACTTGGAACAATATCAGTGACAGTGCTCCAATATTGCCTTTTCAAAAGGTAAATCAACCTTATTGATGTAGAAACTATCGATAGAGTACTATTTCTATGAAATCCATTTCTCCTATCTCCTACCTTCCTATCTACAAATTTAAATAATCTGACTATCAGTGTCATGAAGTATTATTACCAGTATTGTTGTGGATGGCACTTTGGCATGCAAGTTCCCTACAAGCGAAAAAGGGGGAAAGGCTGTTTATGTTAGTAAGTGATTGATTCTATCAGAGCCTACAAAACCACTTCTCTTCTTACTTTTAAGCATTTAACATCCACATCGCTTTGAAGCCATTGGCTCCATACAGTACCAGACAAGAGGGAGTCTGGACAAATGAACATGTCATTATTCTGACAAACCTTCTCACTTAGTGGTGGAAGAAAGTTATGTCAGGTGATTTATCAAAAGTCATTGTTTAATAAAGTATATTTACTGTGACTCCCATCACAAAATAAATTTTACTTACCCAAGTGATAAGTGTAATAATAGTTACCTACCAGTCTACACTCAAAATATTTTACTTCTCACTTAGTGATTTGTAGAGCAACAGCTATTGAATCTTGAAAGTAAAAAATGCCCACCACAAAATGTTTGTGTAAGTTCTATTACCAGTATTTTTAATTTCTTCACAATTCCATTTTCTACCCAAAGGTACTGCAGTTGCAAAAGCATATTTTCTTCCATACCACAACCAAGAGACAAATTTAATGCATCAACAGATGAAGATATCCAGGTATGTGTTCTTTTCAATTCAGTCAAATTTGTTAACTATAAACCACAATAGGTCAAAGACTGGAATAATTGGCATATAAAGATGAGCATTAAATTTGGTCCATTAAAAATTAATTTGCTGTCATGCAAAGTATGCTGTTTTGAAACTAGAAATGCTCTATGCCAGTGCTGAGATTAGTGATTATCCTGTATGTATTTGCATCCATATTTAAAGACCAGAGTTAACACTTTTACTGAGATTGGTAACTTCCATGTGTACCAGTTTTGCTGGATTTCCGTTCATACTTTGAAAATAACCTAAGTGAGGAAACATTTTCCATTAGCATTTTCAAATATCAATGATCCTAATACAATGTGAATATATACTTTATGTCTGACCTATATCCACGTAAAAATCCTGTTGCATTGATTCATGAAAAACAACAGGGCCGGAAAGTCTCAGAGCTTAACTAGACTTCTTTTTTGCTTCAGCATAGGATGAGCTATGACCGTTTTGATGTTTTGTGCAAATTGTGTCCGACTGATATTCTGTAGCATCCCTGTGCAGTCTATTTTAATGTATAATTATACCCTTTTAAAAAGCTTTTTTTAATAGCCTGTTTTACAGCACTTAAAATCCATTACTTCTTATCCTTATTCCTTTCCTGTTTACAGTATCATAGTATCATAGTATCATTTGGG